ATGTCAGCTGAACAGACAGAGAGGGAGGAGGAAAGGGCAGGTTAAGTTTCAGCTTTTCCTCATCAGTTAAGAGCCTGAAATGTTGTAATGCTGAAATATTACTGCATCTTGGCTAATATAAATTTATAGCAAAGACTATGAACATGAGGGGACAGAAAAGATAAGCGATAGATAGATTGCAATAACTGGTTTAGAAAGAAGAGATACCAAGATGAGATCTTAAAAATCTATCTTGATCTCTTCAGGGAAAGATGAGGCAGGCTTCAAATTTCAGAGTTATTTTTATGTCTTCTAGGACCTAAAAATACATCAACACATCTGCTTTTAATTTTTCCCTTATTTATCCACAGATATAGTTCACAAATGCAGGAGTCCCAGCATCCTTTATTTTTAAGCCATTTTTGTTAGCTTTTTTCACTAGGATGTTTTAACTTGTTCTGTTTGGATGCAATACACCTGCTGGAACTGCTACATTCAGAATTACTGCCTGGAATGTCACCGTTTGTTTGGTCAGATAACAGCATTCATGGAAACGCCAAAAGGATTTGGCTGTATTAGAACCTTGTGCTTCAGCAACCTTTAAGCATCTTAACAAATCCTTTTTCCATTGCCTATGGTTTAACAGGTTATTCTTTCTAGAAATGTAGAGGATTATGGCTCAGCTTCAACTGAGCAGGATTCAAGAACTTACTGAACATTTTCCCGGGGCCCTCCCTCATTCTTATAAAGAATTCTAATCTTAATTATGAGTCCACTGTCCAAAACAGAGTATTTGCTTAATGCTATTTCCATTCCAACTACACTTGTAGAGAAGCAGCTTTTTAAGAATACTATGTTTTCACTCTTTGCATATTTGCAAGTACAGGTTGCTTATCAAGGAAAAGGCCTTTTTTTTTTTTGGTGCCATACTCATGCTTTATTAAAAAAAAGAAAAAAAAGCTACACAATACTAAGAAAAAAAAATCAAGTATAATTAACAAAAAACCTGCAGCTGTTTTCAAGAGATCTCATCTCACTTATTAATGGAAGTCAGCAGGTAAAACCCTAGATGTTAATTCAACACTTCAGTTGCAGTACAGCTGAACTTAATCATCCAAAACAATCAGTCATTCTTAACTGACTGTTGATTGTAGCTACACAAACAATCATCTGTATCGATTGATTAGAAAAAGTCCCTGGGAAAATTTAAAGATAAATGGAAAAAAATATCAGAAGAATGTTACTTAGCCCGCCCTTAAACTTTTGCAGAAAATAAGAGACCTTTCTGGCTTTGCTCTCCTTTTTAATTTAAATGCAATTGCTCTGTGTATTTTAGAAATGTCTAAGTGTAAAGCTGCTGAGTTCTGTTCAGTGAGGGGACTAAACTGGTACAATATGTATCTATGTATGCGATTGCCAGCAAGCTACACTAGTGCTATGTCTTACTATCTCCATGGAAGCGTATTGTGCAAGTCTCAAATAACTTCAAAACACGCTTGAAACAGCCCTTGTGTCACTCCTATGAGGTAGGTAGAGTCCTTCCTTTGGAGAAGGGAACAGACTCTTTACTGCTCAGTACATCGGGCACACTGAACGACGGGACAGCCAGCCCACATTATTATTTGGCTTCCCTGGTACTTCCCTGATTTCAGAGCTTTCACCTGCAACATTTTGTTTAGCACCATGCATTCCAGGAATAATCAGTGAATGGTAATTTTGATTATGCCTGTTCCAAGCTAAGGAAGAGCTTCAGCATAACTCTTTAAACAAGCACTACCATCACCAGTCTGCTCCATTCATCTCTACAGCCTGCAATTTAATGATCTTGTACACGAAGTATTAAGGTGATGCTTCAATCCTTTAGTCTGACAGCAGCCACTCTTCTTTCTCAGAGTAAATGATACTGGGAAAAAATGAACTGCTGTCACGAAGCAGACAGCATACAGAACGCTACAAGTATCACATGCAGTTCACCTATAGCTCAGTTACTGCTTTGTAGACATGAACTCTAAAGCAGTTTTTCTTACCCCAAGTGTAGAACTGTTAAGTCTTCACAATTTTTTTGAGTAAGTTAAGGAGCTGTGAGAAAGGAATTAATAGTGTTCCTTCACTCTAAGGCCATAGTTTATGTGCTGTCTGAAACCACTTTAACTTCTCTTACTAATAATGAAGAAACTCCAGTCCACATCTTTTTCAGTTCTCATTTTGAGACTTTCTCAATACCTCACAACAGTGGTGTGGCAGTGTACCAAGCCAGCTGAATCGTGGTGATAACTCTAGATTATAATAAAGCTTAGGCTGCCACATGGAAAGGGGTGGCATAGGGAGAGGCAGAATTGCTACTGTCTCATCTTTAAGCCAGTGAAATGATACCCCACTCAGCTGATCATAATGATATCCAGTAACATATCTGTGACACTAAGCTATCTCTGTGTGTTTAAAAATTGAGTAGAAAATTCAAGTACCAAAATAAAAGTTTCTAACCAATGGGATGAAGCAGCAACTATGTTCTCCCATTTGAAGAAAAATGAGTACACTGGCTTATCCACCAGAAATAACTTACAGATGCCAAAGTTCAGTTACCACTGCATACTGGAATGTTCTTGCTGAGTTTCAACTACAGCAAATTAAAAGAGAAATGGGTAATTCAAAACTGTTATGACGTTTATCATGAGCAGTAGTGGTCTACTAGCCAATGTTCTTATGAACTTCATGCTTAGAGCTTAAGCATTTGGAAGGTAAATCACCAAGTGCAGAGAAAAAAACTGAAACCTTCGATTACTTCCTTCTTATTTGTACAGTCCTTCAGCTTCTAAAGGCCACACTTGCTCCAGGACTCATTCAGTAAGGGCTGATCTATTTATCTCAACAAATAAGACTAGAGTATTACGAATTAGCATCCTCTGTTATGATCCTTTGTCTTTTCCCGGCGTACCACTGTATCTAGAGCAGCTCTCATCACCACCCTCTCAGACAGTACCTTTGATGCTTGGAGAGAATTAGAGCACACAGTTCATGACCTATTACCAGAAATGAAAAAAAAACCCTCTTGATGTGAGGTTAGAGACACAATCCAAGAGAGGGAACTTAGAAGTTCAGTGTATCAGGTGCTGCAATAAATATAGGGCTTTAGAACATAAAGCATTGAATACATAAACACTCTGTTGAATCAATGCAAGCTTGAACATAAGCCCTCAAACCTACCACAGAATCAGTCAGATTACATCACTAAAGGCAAAAAAAGTTGTTCCACGCAACCTGAGTGGAGATACCCCTTATGAAGGCAGCATTCAACTGTTTGCTAAGTTATCTGTATGACAACTAAGCAATCTTAACTGCAAAAAATATTCTGCCTGGACTAGCTATATCTTTAGAAAGTTGAACAAAGCATCTCTTCCATAGCAAGGTGAGTCAAGAACACCTTCACAGTTCATTCTGGCAAAGTGTATAATAAAATAGTGCCAGTACAGGTAGTTTCAGAGCTTAGATGCTTCAAACACACTGTGACAGGATTTGGAAATGTTGCTCAGCATTCACTGACTCAGAAGCTCAGCCCCAGCAGAGCAAGTGTAGATCTAGAAGAGGATTTCCACAAGTGGGGATCAGGAAGGGGAAGAAAAGAAGACAGAGGTCTCAAATTGATGCCTCTTCCTGACCTCAACAAGCTTCCAGATAACCTTCAGACACAGGAAGAGATGCAGATGAAATGCAAACAATGCAAGCCTTGCCCAAGTGCCTGAATGGCAGCAAACTGACACTCTGCATATCTGCTCTTTTCCCTGTCAGTTAAATTCCTGAATGCAGTGGATGTGGATCAATACCTCAGTACCTGGTAATCATGTAAAAGGGAATCTCATTTTGATTTCATAGAGCTCTTCTGCTTGAGTACTGAAATAACATGTAGTTAGTGATGAATATGCATTTGTGTTACTAGTAAGAAAGACGAACTGAGGAAAAAAATAACTCAGACCAGTGTACTGAGCAGCAGAAAGATGGGTGAGATTTAAAAACCATAAAGGGTGAATTAAATAGTTTGCCAATAAAAAAATTCTTTGATGCCAACCATTTTTCAAATTCAGTTTCAAGTGTGTACAGCAAATCCTTGTAAAGCTTTAAAAAAGCCCAAAATCAACATCTGGATACATATGGCATTCTAGTTTTTAGGAGAGAGAACTAAGAACTTACTGAAGAGTTGTTCTGTCTTGTTCAATAGTTTCTTGAGTAAACATTGCAGAACTACCACTATGATCTGCATATTTAAGCTGCTGGCCCGGCTCAAATAACTAACCATTTAACAAGTTGGGTATAAAAAAAATTTATGTAGTAATACCAATTCAGCACACAAATTCCATGCTTCACGAGTTCTGCTGCTGTGTAAGAGTCTTTCTAACATCTATGCAGATAAGTTCAGATTTTTAGGTCACTGCATGCCCAGATCAAAACAGCAGCAAAATATCTACCACTACAAGCAGCTATACCCAATTGTGCCTTTAGAATGCAAACTATGCAGAAGTCTAGATGATCAGTGCCTTGCCACTGAAATGGGACCACATGCACAAACTTCAGTGTGTGCATGCTGTAAAGAATAACATTACTTACTGAAGAAGAGAAATGCATACAGATTTTGATACAGATAGGATACAATCGAGACTGATTAAGTCACTAGACATTCAGATTAAGGAGAGGAGAAAAATCCTTCAAAGACAATGTACAGATGACAAGCCAGCATTACAAAGAACTCTAAAGGCACATTTCAGGTAACATGTTTCTGTTAAGACCAACCGCTTACACACGCAGGCACAAATCTTAATGGGTACCTCCCCCCACCCCCCAACAATTAAAAAAAAAAATTAAAAGAGAAGTGCATTTTCAGTAATATTAACACCAGTTAATCTGTTCAGTCCAAATCTTTAGCAGTATTTTCCTTATGGTGATATGGATTCTCTGCACTACTCCAATCCAAAAAAAACCAAACAGGCAGGATTAGTAAAGGTTCAACTGTTGTACTTAGTTAACATTACTCATCAGAGCCCACTGGTCTCTTCTGTGCCCTCTTGGAGGGCAACCTCCTTGGTGAAGCTTTATCTAGATAGAAAAAAAAAAAAAAAAAAAAGGAGTTAGAGTTGCATCAATCGCAATTGTTACGTGACCATGTATTTTTCTCCTCCCAAACACAAGACAGACTGCCTTGCTAATATATCACCACAGAGAAGCCAATTCAAGCAACTTGTTCAGCCTTTTCCATCCTAAATAGAAGATAACAAAAAAACATTTCCATTCTGTAAGATGCAACTCCAGGGTGAGGTTTGCTCTATTTGCCAGTTACTAAAATGCAAAAAAACCCAAGACCAGAAACCTACACCATCTCCACCACACTCTGCTGTTTAGACAAATTTCATGTTTGGTAATTACACTTTATAAAGATAATGAATTATTTTGATCAATACTGACTTGAGTTTGCCTTCCTGAAAAAGTTATGATTGACTCTCCTTTAAACAAATTTGTCTTGCATGAAGCATTTCCACATTCATATAGATTAGCAGTTGAAGATGAGTGTTTTTCTTGTGAAAAGCCCCACTTTTCCCAAAAGCATCCACATTTGACTATGAAGATGCACTTTGTAATCAGATATGGGGATTCTGGACTGTGAGGGTGGTGAGGTGCTGAACAGGTTGCCCAGAGAAGCTGGGGCTGCCCCATCCTTGGAAGTGTTCGAGTCCAGGTTGGATGTGGCTTAGAGCACCCTGGTCTAGTGGAAGGTGTCCCTGCACATGGCAGGGAGGTTGTAACTAGATGAACTTTAAGGTCTCAATACAAAGCCATTTGTTGTTCTATGATTATTGTAGAAAAGCTTCAATATTCTGTATGAAGTACTGAAGTGATTGCTATGTGCACTTGCTGACTTTAAAATGCACATTTCCTTGAACAAAATAATCTCCAATAACTTCACTGTTTAGAGTATGTGCAAACACAAAGAGCAGCCATCATGCCATTATAAGCCAATCGGTACAGTATGAAATGTCTTTCAACAATTAAAATTCAAGAACCTCCAAGATCTTGAAGGCCAGATATTTTAAAGAATTCTAATGTAGAGTTCTAACTGAAGCTAACCTGGAGCTGAGAAAACTACAATTAAGAACAATGTAAACACCAGTTTTTCCTACACTTCAGGTATTAAAGATATGAAAAGATATTAATATCTATTTGGCTTAAGAAAGGGACTGGGACAGGACCCAAACATTACCAGGATTTGAACCCATTTAAAGACAGCTTGTTATTCAGAAAGAATAGCATTTAGATTTTCTTGCTAGACTGAGAGTCATGTAAATAGAGTAAAAAAGGTGAAGGAATAAAAAAAGCAAAGTCATCAGCTCCTGGCACATATCAGATCTAAGGCCTCTAGCCATTCTACACTGAATGAAGCTGAGAATATGCTTATTTCATCAAAAGAGCAGTCTTTGCTAAGTAAAGGTGGGTCCCACAAAGGGTTTTCAAAGCACTTTTCTTTGCATCTTGTCTTGGATGCACTTGGTTGAGGCTCTTTCACCTCACATCAGCTAATGCTTCTGATGATAGTTCACCCAGAATGAGGAAAACCCAGGAAGATAAACCTGATAAGTAAACTATTATACCCAAGGGTGAGGCTTGTTTCTCACTGAAACAAAGTGAACTCAGCCATTGGTCATGAACTTCCCTCTACCATCCTCATATAGTATCAGTTTGACACTACACTCAGGTAGTGGGGAAGGCAAAAATACACATCTGCCTTTTAAATAAAGAATTCTGGGAACTGTTAAAAGAAACAACAATACTTAATCAGTATTCTACTGAAACTATGTAACTACAGTATAACCAGAAACGCATACACAAAATACATAAAAACATAAATTTAGAAGTATATAAAATGCATTTATGCCATTGGACGCATCTGTTCTGTTATCTTTTACTGCTCATGCTACATCACCAGGCATTGCATGCAGGAAGCTGTACTTCTATCCATGTCCAGTTTTTACATGGACAGCACATTAACCACTTTCACTCTTCAGCTCACAAAGAGTTTGCCTCACCTCTTCTACTCTGCACTGAAGCCATGGGAAAGCAAAAGAGAAGAGTAAGAGAAGTTAGAAATATCCACGAACAGTCTAAGGAAATCACATATTTGGTTTACTGTTGTCATATCAGGTATCAAGTAGAACTTGATCATTTTGGATTTGTGAAGGACATTAATAACAAGTTTTAATGTGGCTTTAGTTAATATACACTTCTAATGCTCATTTAAAACTTTGGTCTACAGGCAAACTTCCAAACAACTTACAGAAACTTTGAGATGACAGCCATTTTCTCCTATTTAAATCTCCTTTGTGATGCAGGTTTTGGGTAGAGATTTTATACTGTTGAAAAATAGTCTACAGACTGAATTGCAAAAGTCACCAATAGTCATTATTAGATCAACCAGTGAAGTTTGTTCTATAAAGACCAGGCTGCTAAAGTAACAGTCTAATCATTAAGCACAGTGCTTTAGATAAGTTTTTATTCCCTAGAAGACTTATATGCAGTTCTGAGAAATGGGTATCAGTTACTTATTTGATTATAATTAATTGATAAACTAGATTTGTTATGTTCCAGTTTGTGGAAGGCAGACTACTTACTTATTTGATTTAAAGTTTCTTGGGGAATCCAGCTCATATCAACATCATTTTGATTTGATGTTCCCATCTCTACTTTCTGTACCGGTCTTTTCCTCTGAAAATTCAAGAAAGAAAAGATTTTTCTTTCAAACAAGGTTTGGATAGCACAAGTATAAGAAATTACTAAAAATGCTACATTTAATGAATTGTAATTATCTCACTAAGGCATAAATGTAAGGCTAGTCAATGTATGGAGCTGTCTTTGGAGTTAAAGCTAAGCTATCCCTCCTAATAGCAATTTATTCCCCTAAGCCTGACATTACCACTGCTAATGCCTCACAATCCTTATTCCTCATAAAGACATTGGGATTTCATGCACACCTGGACAATTCATTATATGTGTTGCAAAAAATGGCTGATTAATCAAACTTTGTGATGATCAGTTTTGTTACGCTTTCTCAAATTAGCACAACATTCTTGTATGTCACCTTACAAAATAGATGTCAACAGACAGTAATTATCCCATACTTATTCCCAAGTGAAGCTCCTTCAAAAATATAAGCCACACTGCACAAAGGCATCACCTAGGCATTGCATACAGATGAGACTTTGAGCTTTCAACAGCTTTTACTTGCCAAACCACATACCCAGACAAACCTTTAGCTGTTATTAGCTAAATTAATACAATTACAAATAGAATTCAGAAGGCCCTAATCAACATTATGGCAAAGCTTTGATGAGAACTAAATAAAGGACTAGACAGCTGTTTTCCCCAGAGTCTGATCTGGATTAAACTAATAGGCAGAAATAGAGAGCATGGGGAAAATCTACCCAGTAAGTAGTGAATCAGAAGACACACACATCCAGTGACTGGAAGGTATCAAAGCTTCCAATTCAGCTTCAGTGTGGTGCCAAAGAGCAGACCCAAAGAGCATGAGCTGAGCGACCAAAATGTCTTCGGTTATGAAGTTTTTTAAAACTCTAATTTCTCCAGTAATCTCTAAGTTTCTAAAAATAAATCTCCTGTAGTTTCACCTGTACTGTCATACTGAATTGCTTTCTTTTCACATCAGAAAGGTCTTGTATTATCAAGCACATAGACAAACACACTACCCACCTTCCTAGATTCTAGTAACTGATGTAGGCCAACAATGACAAGTAGACCAAGTCCAGCGAGGAACATGTACATGAAGATCCTTTAAAAAACAGTTTAAGAAACCATTAAATAAAAATCTTAAGTTCTGAAGAGAGTTTACACAGAGGTGCAGAATCTAAGCCTAGCTTTGGCCACATAAGAACTTCTGTAGGGGGGGGAGTGGGAAAAAAAAAAGATTCTGAAACTGAAGTGCTAACAAATGTTCTGACTTCAACTTCAGAAACTGTAATCATAAACTTAATTCTGAACAACAGAACATTTGAAAATGCTGTATAAATTAGAAAACTGTTCTAAATAAATACTGAAATTGTGTAACTTCAAGAACTTTTTTGCACTATCATGAGCTTTCCAGATATTGGGTTATAGGCAATATTTATGTTTGTGATAGCTTTAGCACTTACAAAGCCCTTAAAAATCTCTTACATGCTTTTAGTAGACTACTGCAAAGCAATTGCTTCTAGGACTTAATTTATTTGCAACAGTTTTAAAAGACCTTCCTTATCTTGTTCTGTGTTCCACAGTTAGAATTCTACCTATACAATCATTTCTTTAATCTGCATATTTAGGGTTTTTTTCGAATAATTTTACCAGAAATACCAGTAGATACTTAGCAAGAGGTGAACATAAGTTATATCTAAAATTAATTTGCGGAGTAGGGAGTTTATAGGTAAAAATCCTATTGCAAGCTGAACATCTGAAGTCAGATTTACGATAAAGGAAATTATGGAATGAAACTAAACAAGAGACTTAATTGAAAATCCCTGTTATAGGGTAATTATCTGTTCACGGGACATTCGCACAAACTGATTCTAATACACCAAAATTCTTTTGAGAGCTCCTTTTTCAGAATATCACACATTTTCATGTGACCAATTTTTCTTGAATTTATGCCATTCTATTTGAGAAATAAGAATTAATATTTCTTTTGGCTGACCTTTTTTAAAAGGAAGCTTGCTCAGCAGGCAGTTCCTACCTGTGGCAGGACAATTCAGATACTCGACATTGTCTACAAGTATTTCTGAAGAATAATTTTTTTAACTCAGAAGGTTCACTTAAAATTCCACTCCAGTGTTACAATATTTAAAAGCATATCAGCACGGAATATGCTCGCAACATGTAAGGTGTGTCAGATCTACTTATCTTTGAAAAGGATCCCTCCTGAAAGATTCCTTCTACAGATAGGGGATAGTGCAAAGAATGACTGAGTTCCTCTATCTTGTACTCCAAAATACATCTTCTAGTTTTTGTAAACTTAGATTATACTGGACTGCTCCAGAAGAAATTTATTCCAGTCTTGACAGCAGGACTCACAGCCTAATACTGTGGACACTATGCATCTTTTAACTCTTAGGAAAAGGCACAGCAGCATAACAAAAGCTTAACAGCTTTGAATTGCTATGTACCTGTATAACATCCGGTCCTATTCCTGGCTTACATCCTCTGAACACATCTGTAAACTGCTCATTGACTTAGTACCAATCCTGAAGATCCCCACTATTAATACAGACCTTAATTTCAGGAAAAAGTTCTTATTTTCAGTCTGTAAACATTGTCTTTGTCAGATGCCTGGTACACCACCAACACAGTAGACCTAACATTCAATAAAATGAGGATACAAGAACTATTCTCACTGGCACCATCAATAACGTGTTCTACCAGGACACCAACTAAACTTGCATCTCCAGTCTCCTTACGTTTCTCCATCCAGCCCATCTTCTTTTTCAATAATTGTAACAGTTTGATTGAAGACAGCATCTTGAAATATGTTGCCCTATAACAAAGTTTGCACATAACATTTCAAATTAATTTGTTAAACACATACACAGATGTTTATCTTTTTCCATGTTCTTGGAAAAATTCTAGAAAGCACTAACTCCTGCATGAAATTTTGTTAAGTTTGTAAGTAGTGCCAGTTTGACTGAACACATAAAAGCACAAATGTTTTGCTCCAGTTGCAAAGAACAGTCTAGATAGTACTAAAATAGTCACACCTGGCCTTCCGCACGTTATTTCCTATAACAAGAAATATTACATACAAAGGGTTCTTATTACGACTACCAAAACACAAAGGTACAGAAGCCTGTTAATCTTTGACCTGCACCAAAAGAGAAAAAGAATCCCCTGTTTTATCCCCATTTATGGTTTTGCATAGCCTTCCCCCAGATTGCAACTACTGGCCATTTATTTGCCTAAAGTGGAGTTTGCAGTGGCACTCAGATTGGCAGTAGGGTTTGTTAGCAAAGCCCAATCTGAAAAGCACAGTGAAAATTAAGTTTCCCTAAACAAAGCTTTAGTTTTCTTTGGTCGGTTTGTTTTTTTAGGAGTACATCCCACTACTATACAGTTCTAAGGCCTTCTAGCTTCCACTGCCGACTTAACTTTTTAAGTGCAACATATAAAGAACTGAGTGTGCCCGGGGGACTTACTGTGCTTATGTATCTAGTGATTTACTTAAATATTACAAAGGCATTCACTTTATGAAGAGGTAATAACTCGACTAAGCAGTTCCTTCCTGGCACTCCACATCAACTAGCAAGATTCAAATGAATTACAACATCAGGCTTACATTTACATCTCTGTAGTTGAGATTGATAACTAGACCGAAAGGACGACCACCCATAGGCTCAGCAGGGATGAAAGAGTACTCAAATGTGGCTTGTCTCTGTGGTGGAACTACTGTGTTCAGAGAGAGAGCTGTGAAGTTCTGGATATAAAACTGGTAGTCTTGGGGATACCGGAAGGAAGCATCAAGAGACTCGACAATGAAATCCTCTGTACCCTTGTTGGTGAAGCCCACCAGAAATTTTACGATGTTGTTCGCTGGAAAGTCTGAAACAGAAAAAAACATTAGAAACTTCATATACCCCACCTAGCCAATTTCTAAACAGAGATCATCTAGAACAGACTCTGTGGTTTTGGAGCTTCACTGTTTTAATTGCACAGACATAGTCTAAGCAACGGTAAGAGGATGGTAGATTAGCAGGGGACTCTTACCTTCACCTTTCACAAATAAGATGGTTGTATCAGCACTGGGTGAGGCTTTAGGCTCTCCTGACAAGTCTTCTTCCTCTTTTTCTTCTGTCTAAGACAAGAGACTTTTTTGAAAAAATCCTATAATGAACAGTGAAGCAAAGACCATGCTTGGTTCGTGAGAATCCCATGTGTCAAAGCAAGCAACAACAGCAAGTATTCACACCATATCCTGCTGTTGCAGGATTAGCACAATCTGTTCTCCCTCTAGACTTGATCAGCATCACTTTCAGCATTTCTCTTTCTACTTGTTATATTGGACACAGTACTAATCTGAACTGCATTTGGTTGTATTGAAAGCTTTAGAATCAGAAAGAATCAGCATGGTTTCTGTTTGGGGGTAGAAGGAAAAGAATAGAGTCTAAATGTTAAGTGTTCACATCTAAGACATTTCTATTTAGAAGACAAGCACTTCCAAAATAGAGGCAACCATATGACAAATGAGAGTTACTTTCACCACAGAGGGAGTGTTTAGCAGCTTTCTATTCAGTTTTAATTAGTTAGGCGTATGTACGCCTGGAAATAGTTACACTGTTGGAACTAAGCAAGTTCGTGGACCCACTTGCTCAAGTTCACCTTTGTGATGATGTACTTTTTAATTCAGCAAATGCAAGCATTAAAGGCTTATTTTCCACTTGAGGATCATAGGATCATCACTGCCCCCACCAAATAAAAACAAGGCCGACCCAATTTTAAACAGTCTCAGCTAATTGCTTGCAAGTCAGTTCATTTGATTTCAGTGCTTCAACGACCACCTGAAGCAGTGGATATCATATCGGATCAGTCGTACAATTGTTAAATTATTTTTTCCTGAAATCAGATATCTGAGACTCTGCTGAGGGGAAACTTATGTCAAAGATTTTTAACATTTGTCAAGCTGAAGCAAGTGACCCTAAACAGCAACATGCTCACAACATACCCCGCAACAAATGTCAGAGGCTAGGAATGTAGCAAGTGAAAATGGGCTACAAAACAAATGTTCTGTTACCCCTGGAAAATAAATACAAAGAAGCCAGAATTAAGTAGTCCTATAGCCTAATATTCTTCTCAGTTTACTGAGGTGCAGCTTAAGCTAGAAAAGAACTAGGGGGGCTCCCATTAGAATCTGATTCTCTCACTTGGTGTTCTTTTTTGTGACCTATAGTTTTGGCAGTAAGAAATCAGGTTGTACCCATGTGGTTCCTCAACTGGTAATTCAGAAAGAAAAGATAAATCCTTTTGACACTTCAAACTGAACACAAGCTTAATTAGAGATGTGGAAACAGCTATTGGAAAATAACAACGTTACTAAACTCATAGGTAAATTATCCAGCTTGAAGCACTTTTGGTCTAATTCATACTTTTGAAGTAACGCTCATGTAAAATTACCAAGTCTGTTGGCTCATCTTCTTCAACTTCAGCTTCATCATCTTCATCTTCAACTACAGTATCTTCCACAGCTTCCTCATCTTCTGTAGCATCTTGAGCTGCAACTAATAAACCCGAACCTACCGAAATAAAATACAAAAAAGCCTTTTTAATGTCTAGTTAATGAACAAAAACTGACAATGAAGTACAATTCTCAAACTAATGTCTGAAGTTCTTAAAAATCTGTCCAATGCAGTGTTTTGAAGCCTCAGTTGCAAAAACCTCATTAAAATGATGCCTGTGTTGATCTTTCAGCCTTATTCCTTCTCTAATAACTTTCTCACCTACTCATCCGCCACCAAGTTCAAACCCAAAGCGTTTATAGTTGGATGACAAAAAATTCAGCATGCACACAGCAATGCTTAAATTTGCAGAAGGCAACAAATCTGCCTTAAAAGCTATTGCTTAATTTTGGAACATGTTAACATATAAAAATATTTTAATTTTGTAATTCAAAAAGTGAAAATAAGACAATGCTATTGCCAGGAAATTAATTTAGTAAGTACTGTTTCTTCTAAGACTAGCAAGTCTACTAAATGATTAGCATACTGATAACAGAACAGCACCCTTTGAAAAGTAGATAATAAGTTATTATTTTTTGCACATATTTTCACTCAAGTTTTAAAACATAAAAAAGTCTTTTTTAATATGACTTCAATATGTTAATGGCCAGTCTCTTCGCGAACGAAGAACCGGGGAAGGTCTTTCCACCTTCCAGCCTGCGCATTGGATTTTTTAGGTGAGACACAGTGTGCGCGGAACTGAGCCCACCCTTTAATCCTGAGGTTCATCTGCCGGGGCCAATGACTTCAATATAATGTCCTAATATATCCATATATGCAACAGAACCACAACATTAGTCAGAAAAGAAACCTGACCTAGAGCAACACTCCAAGACAAGTGTAATCTGATAGTTCATTGCCTCTTTGCTTTCATGGAGCCAAGCCTCATACATTCAAACACTGGGCAAATACGACTAATAAAAATATTGGCCATGGGACAAAGTTCTGTCCCTTTGCAGTTTACAGCACGTGGAGGCAAGGCTGAGAACTTTTAAAACATGCGCAAGAAAAGACAGATTTTTTTGTTAATAAACCTAACGTTTTCCATATTTGAAAAAGTAGAAGTGAACGGATGATTGATTTACCCAAGTCTCAAAAAGATTTAATTGCTATAAATATGCTTTTAAAATAAATATTTAAAAATTTTCACTAGAAATAAGAATCCTTGAGCACGAAAAGTATAGCCGAGGACTTAAGAATTGTCAGAGCTAGAAAAAGCAAACACAACCCCTCCTCACAAGTGTCTTTTAGAAGGTACACTCAAAGACTTGCTCGAGCACGTGCAATACTTAACCCAAGCCTTAACTACTGTGATTTTATTTGCTGAAGTTTTAGACTTTCAAGTGTAGGAATAAAGATTTTTCGTAATTTAAAAATGAGCAGGCTACGGGTAAGCCATAGGCACCCTTTGCTGCCCGGCAGCCTCTTTCATATCTGTAGCTTACAGTCTTCAATGGATGTTGGAGGGGCTGATGATGATGTGGCAATAGCGGGAAAGGAGAGCTGCCGGCTCTGGCAAGGGACTAACACACAGCGTGTGCTGCAGCCCACTGCAAGAGCTAGATGAGAAGCCTCCCTTCCCTCTCCTGCCTTCCCAAACTTAGTAGTAGGGAGGCAATTTCCAGACCGTGAATCAGATAACGCTGCAGCGTAAACAGAGATTAGCGCTCCTCCGTGTCGCCAAGGACACTCGGGGGGGTGGCGGCAGACGAGGTGGGAAGGCAGGGTGGCAGCCAGCGCATCTGCTGGGAAATGTGGGAACCAGCACCGCCGGGGAGCGGCGAAGAGGACAAGCCCGCTGCGCCGTCCCCAGGCGGGGTCTGGGCGGGCCGGTGTCACTGCCGGGCCGGGGGCCGGTGCCCGGGCGGCAGCCGCAGGGCCCTGCCCGACACCGCGGGCCGCTCTGCCGGGAGAGGCGGGGGCCCGGCCCCGCACACCGCCAGGACGCCCTCGGACGGGGCCGGGGCCCCGCAGGCACCGGGCCGGGCCCCGCAGCCCCGGCGGCCACGTGCGCGGGGCGCCCGGCGCGATGAATGAGCAGCGCCCGGCGGGAGGGTCGCGGAGGCGGCGCTGGGCTCCGCAGGCCCCGCGGCAGCGGCTCCCCCTCCCCCGACCGCCAAGGGGATCCCCCCCGCCCCACCACCCCTCTCCCGTGCCCGGGCAGCGGCGGCCGCTCATCCGCCCGCCCTCACCTGGGCCGCCGCGGGCGCCCCCGAGCAGCAGCGCGGCGGGGAAGACGAGCAAGGCGAGCAGGAGCAGCTGCGACAGGCGCCTCATGATGGCGGCGGCAACGGCCCGGCACCCAGCGCAGCCAGCCCCGGCGGTGGCGGCGGGTGGCGGACGCTGCGGGACTGTCTAAATGGCGGCGGGTGCGGGAGCGGGCGCTGGGACCTCCTCCCGCTCCTCCATCCGGGGCCGGCGCCGCGCCCGGCCCGCTCCGCCCCCGCGGACGTGGCTCCGCCGGGCAGGAGGCGCGGCGGTCACATGAGCGCTTAGCACACGTCTGCCCTCGGCCGGCACCTCCCCGTCCACCCTCCCTCCCTCCCTCCCGCCTTCCCTCCCTCCGGGAAGCGGGCACAGCACCGAGCCCGAGGCAGCTCGGGGAGCCTTTGGACGACGCCCTCGTCCACCTGGTGTGGTTCCCGGGGTAGGGGTTGGGGTTCTTGGGGCTGTCCTTGTGGTGCAGGGCCAGGAGTCGGGCTCGGGTTGACCCGCGCGGCGCGGCAAAATGTGGAAGATGTAAAAGTTTCCTTGAGAGGGGATGTCCTTTGGTGTTTGATCTTTGTGTACTTTTCAAGTCTGATAACGAGAAAGGAGATTTAAACCTTGAATCACATAGCAGCTAACAGCTCTGAGAGATTTCTGTGCGTTAGGAAGAAAAATGACTTGTCTATGGAATTGCCTTGTTAAGGTGTAGGGCTTGACATTTTTGATAGTTGGTGTGCTTGATTTGTGGAATACCACCGAGCAGCCAGGCCTGCAAAACCCTGAAATAAATAATAAATGTTTCTCTCAAGTGTGTAGTTAATGGTTTGTTGCACAATGGGTAAAGAATCCACTTTTTCTGGACAAGAATGGTTCCCTTCAAACTTGGAAAATTCTGTGATTCTATGGGAAGTGTGGGATTCCTAAGGCTGTGTGGGGTGGTTGGTTGTTGGGGTGGTCGTGGCCATAGCAGGTGGATGGGGTGGCTGCGGGAGTCCAGGGGCGCCTCTCTGCCAACATGCCTTTGGCACTTGGCAGTGTGGGAGCCTGCACCTTGAGCTTGGGATGCTTCTGGTGCAAGGAATGCCAGTTGTTCATCTTTGTTAATGTACTATGACACAGTAAAATCCAAAGGATAAGGATTTTTTTTTTTTAGTAGATTAACATACCTCTGGAAGGAGCAAAGATAAAGCATATTACTGAAACAAAGGTGATGTTTAAATTTGTAATTCCATGTTGCTTTAGAATAACTGGATTTGGGTCATATATTTGACAGTCTATTGAAAGTTTCTCAAACTCTGATAGGCAATGAATATGGTACTGATACATTGCCTTTATCTCAGGGGACCTTTTCTTAAATGTTAAAAAGCTTATTAAGACAGAAAGCTTTCCCAGGCCCTACAATCAAAATATTCAGTGAAAATAAAAATACCAGGGCCAAAAACAGCCTGCAAGCTTTATCCTTCCTCCCACAGTTAATTCAGCAATTTGTGCACAGGATACAATGAAGCAAGAATAGTGTTGATACATTCTATATTTTGAAGTAGCTTTAATTTGTCATTTGAGCATTTGCAGCTTGCTGTGATGGCAATGGTAAATGTAGTCTTGAGGCTTTCATTTTTTATTTTCTCTCATTTGATTTTCAACCTGCAAATTACACTAAAAAAATTATCATAAGTAACCATTCTAACTTTAAATCTTATTTTAACGTGCCGAAAACCTTACTGAAATGCTGTTAAGTATTGACTGAAAGTGAAGCATGATTATGAAAACTGGAAAACATTCACTGCTACTGATAAAAGTATTTCTGGTCAGATAACATCCACAAAATGGTATAATATTACTTTTTCTGTAAAGGTTCTAAAGTTTGTTTAACATATAATCTTTGACCAAACACGTTTGACTTAACCTAGTCATGATTTGGTTGTTTTGTGATTTGGGAGGGGGCTTGGGGGGGAGAGGGGGGAGGAAAGCAGCTAATTTACTTTTTCTCCAGGAAAGTAACAGAATATTGCCATGCTGTAGGAGGTTTCCTATATAACACTGCAGGATCTGAAATATTTTGTGTCTTCTATAAATTGACTATGTACTTAATGTGCTGCTTTTCCATCTGAGTTAACTGCTCTTGATGTTGCTAATTAATTAACCTGTATGGTGCTCTTACTGAATTTGCACGTGGTGGGAGGCACAGAAACGTGTTAGTTAAAAGTGTGTGTGAAAATAATTGAGGTACCTCGACTAGCTTCAGTAAAATGCTAAGCCAAGACTGACTGCAATACTACAACTGTGCCTAGAAGCATTTTTAGGCTGCAGTTCTTTAGTACTAAGTACTGTACCCTTATTAAACAAGTTATAATTTGAAAGACAAGCCTGTATGAAAAACTGGAGCAAGATGCAGTGTTTTGTTTTTGTTTTGTTTTGTTTTTTTTTTCCATGGACTGCTCTACGTGTGCATTCACAGGCATAACAAAATAAGGGTTGACAGTATCTGCCACTATTGTGACTTTTAGATTTGACATCCCTTCTGTTGGATACTAATTCTGAGAAGGCTAGTGTTCACTGGGAGTTTGGGTTGCCTATTGGAATGTGATTGCAGTTATGTACAAGCATTATATCTTTGCATTTAAAAAAGGGTTTCAGTTAGAAATTACATGTAAAGCTGTAACTAGGAAATACACCTTCAGTTTCATAAAGTGTAATACAAAAGAGTGAGTGTTCCTTGTCTGTGGATTAAAAATAAAGTTTACTTTGTATTTCCATTTTGAACTTCTTAAATGAATTTCCCAGACGTATGTTTCCTCTTTGAAGATACCAGGAAAAGGCAAAAAATTGTTTATGTACACATAGACAGACTTATTTTTGCATTATTACTTGTTATTGGTGAAGTGTTTAAGAATCAGCTGGACTGCCTCTTAAGCATTTACTCAGTGGCTTCTATGAGAGATGAATTCAACAAAGCACTTTTAGTAGCAGTGTTGTATATAAAGTCCTAACCTGTCTTCTGCTTCCTTTATCTCTTTATTACTTCTTTTAATTTAGAGAAGTAATTCTATGGATATGGAATTCTGAGATTTTTTTTCTTTTTGATTTCTGTGGTTCTTTTCAAAATTACAAAGTTACTATATGTGGCACTTATTAATAATTCCAATGAGAATCTCTCACTTAGACCTCTCAAGCTGACATTATTCTTTCTCACCACTGATTACAACTCTGGGGAATCAACTTATTTGAAACTGATGCAGGCAGAAAGGGGTCATATTGCAACCCTCATCCCTGGAATCCCTGTCAGCTGCTTCTGACTAGGAGACAAAACTGTTCACGGGAGCTCTTAATGAGATTTGCTAGGTTTTTCCCTGAATTGTGGGGGTTCTTTGAAGTTTTTTCAGGAAGAAATTTTATTTACCCTATTGCAGCAAAATTGTCTCACAGACACACAGATTCCTTATTTTATAAAAAAAAAAAAAAAAAAAAAAAAAAAAAAAAAAAAAAAAAAAAAAAAAAAAAAAAAAAAAAAAAAAAAAAAAAAAAAAAAAAAAAAAAAAAAGAAAAGAGAGAGATATCTCTCTGAAGATTTACCTTATAGAAATATATGGATAAACTGATAGTGTTCCACAAACTTGACTAAATAATGACTAAATGAGAAACGGAAAAATTCAAATGAAAAATCTAATAATCTGGATAAATCTGTCATTGCTAACCATGACTGCTTAATCAGATTTATGGATTCCATATGCTCCACATAAAGGCAACAGGAAAGGAACTTCAGAGCTCACTTTGGCCTTGTTCAAGGTTGCCCAGTTTAAGACTCTTTGTAACACTTCAGTTGAAGGTTGAGGTGATGATTTTGTAACACATACAGCTTAAAGCATACAGTATTTTTAGCTACCAGATTTTTTTGTCATCCCTCTGCATGAAGAGCAGAAACGAAGTTGCTGACATGGAAAGATAAAAAGCTATTTTTATTCTACACTGTAAGTTAATTATTGCTACTAATTCAGTGACAGTCTGGCTATTTGGTAGATTTATGTCATTGTGGATGTGAATTTCATAAGTCCAGTCTCTCTCACCCAAGAAAGGGTGCGGAATACAAACGAAAGAAGCAAGAGGAATACAAGAAATGGCACGCGGTATATGAAAAATACTAAAAGGACTCTGATTCGTAGATGAATAGAGTGTTCTGTAGTCGTTTGACTAATGTTTATGGTGTTTGCAGTTAATGCACGCTTTTTAATGTTTGTACCCCAGTTATATTTGTTATATTCTATTTGGACATGTATGAACATGTCCGTCCCCTCATGAATTTTCTCTTCCCTGATTGGTCAAGGTTTCCCTCTCCCTCACTGGCCAGGATTTGCCACAGTGTGGGCGGTCCTGCCATTTCCCTCCTTCCATGTTATTGGCTCCTAGTTAATTTATGCATGTTGCTGAATCCCCATTGGTTGTTTAGTCCCATGCTCCTCCCAGTTTCCAGATCCTTCCATCCTGAACCCTATATAAGGGTTAGCTCTCCCCTCAGTCGGGGACAGTGCCCTTGACTCTGTGCCTGCACGTGTCCCTGCGTTAATAAACACCTACGACAGAGCAAGAACCCCTCGTGCTGTCGTCGCCTCTCCTTTCACCGGGCTGCGGCAAAAGGGTGCTACACTGTGAAATTAGAAAAGTACAAAGCTGCAGAGAGTCCTGACTTCTGAAGAGTTGCCCAGGTGCTTCTGAGTGTGTCAGCTGTGAGATGTTGGTAACAAGAAAACCCAATAGACTATCCTCTTGAAGGAAAAAAACCCTAATAGACTGCCTTCTTTAGGTAAGAGATCAAATATTTTTAATTACTTAGTTTAATTAACTGTTAATTTACTCTATATAAAGACTAAATAGTATGGGCAATATTTTAAAATCTGCAAGAAAACTTACCCTTTGAAAAGAGTCAAAGTGATTCAGTGGTTTTGGTGGTACCAAACTAAAGATTTGACGTGTCCATTTAACTATGTTTATCTACTGATCCTTGCATATTGTTTTAAACCTGGCTTGAAATGCCAGAGGTGTCTCAACTTCAAGACTATACCTTAAATTCACATTTTTGTGAATGCAAATCAAATTGGTAGTTGTGAGAGTTTGCTTGTATTGGAGCCTGTGTGGTATAGTGGCTTAGGTTACCAGCATTCCCTTTTACATAATTTGGACTCAGCATGGAATAGTTCTGAACTGCTTGTTATGGAGGAGCTTGGGGCTTTCACAGACATGGATGTTGTTTGCTGGTGGCAAGCTCTGAGGTGAAAGGCTACGGTAGATTGTCAGTGCTAAAGAAAAAAAAGGAAAGATGAAGATTTGATTAATTCCTAGATATTACACTCTGTGATAATGGAAATGAACAAAGCAGATATTTTATCTTTGTTGAATGACTGTGTACTGTTATTGGTGCATTCAAATTGGAACTCATTCACTCTCCCACCAGCAGGATCAGGAGGAGAATTGGAAGTGTAAAAGTGAAAAAAATCATAGACTGAGATAAAGACAGTTTAATAGGTAAAACAAAAGCCATGCACACAAGCAAATTAAAACAAGGAATTAATTCACTGCTTTCCATTGGCAGGCAGGTATATGGCCGTCTCCAGGAAAGCAGGGCTCCATAACACATAGCAGTTACTTGAGAAGACAAATGTCATTACTCCAAACGTCTCCTCCTTCCCCTTCTTCCCCCAGCTCTATATGCTGAGTGTGACGCCACACGGTCTGGGATATCCCTTTCTTCAACTGGGGTCAGCTGTCCTGGCTGTGTCCCCTCCCATCTCCTTGTGCACCCTCAGCCTCCCTGATGGTGAGGAGTACGAAAAGCAGAACAGGCCTTGACACTGCGCAAGTGCAGCTCAGCAATAACAGGAACATCCGTATATTTTCAACCCTTTTTTCAGTACAAATCCAAAACACAGCTCCAGTACTAGCCAATGTGAAGAAAATTAACTCTATCCCAGCCAAAACCAGCATAGATGTCAAACTTTGCAACATTTGCATTCCAATCCTTTCATTTCTTTTCCCCTTGAAAAAGTGAAAAAAGGCCATTGCCATAACTTTTTATTCCCTCGTTTACTTCAAATAATAAATTGCAAAGTGTTTGGTCACTTCTTGAAATCAGGTGATTGCATTAGGTGATCTGTGTAAGTCAAATTTCCACACTTGGACTCACATCCAGCAAAGGATTTTAGGAATGCTATTTTTCCTTTAAATTTCTTAAAGTAACTTCTTGGTCAGAACCTTCAGGTTGAGTCAGTGTAAGTTTGTCCCAAGAACGTAAAGGGAACTGCTGCACATGGCATCTAGGAATGTTATAGATACTTACAATGCTTACAGTATCAGTCTGAATTACACTTAGCTGTCTGTGATTTTCTGACTCTATCATATCTCTTCCCATCTGGCAGTTTCAAGATGCAGGATGTGGTTTTGCCCTTGGTCTTTCACCCTCTGTTGCTGCAGGTTTTTGTTCTCTCTTCTGAAAGAAGAACAAATCTGTTGTTGCATTTTCAAATTCTGATTGCAAGATTTTAAGCTGAGCAGCCAGCTTGTTATATTTAGATAGCGGCTGTTGACTTTCTGCTAAGCTGCCATCCTTTTCCCCTTGGAATTTTGTCTGCAAGGACAGGAGCGATTCCTGTGTGTATTCTCACTTTCCTCCCTCAGTGCCTCTTTTATAGAAATGAAGGAGAAAGGGATACTTAGGTTCGAGGTACTCTAGTGTCAGAAGTTTAGGTGGCAGAACTTGAAGACAGCCTGAAGTAAAGCTTTACCTTTACAAATGTCAGTAACTGGCTTGTTGCTTTCCACATTCAGAGACTCTCAATGAGTTGACTTTATGGAAGTGTTGCAGATGCAAATGACACCTATTGCATTAATTCCTTCTTAAAGGTGTCTCAGTATAAGCATCTGTGTTTTTTGCACAATCACAGGGTTTTGATACCTTTTTCACATAGCACTTGGATAACGTGAAAAAATCTACAAGAAAAGAGACTGCATTTTAAAATTGTACCATTATGTACCAGGTAGAAAAAGCCCAGCACTCACTTTTGTTTTCTTAGTCCTACATTATATTGGTATATAAATAGATTATAATGTCGTTCAGTGTAAGGGGTGTTAGGACCTAAGATGCTTCTAGCAAGGCTTGAAAATTTGGAATTCTTTTGGCTTCAATTAGATGTTTATTGTAATAAAGATTGGAATTCAATATTTCAGGGGAAACAACCATGAATCTGTGGCAGAAATGGTCATTTCCAGTCATGAGAAGAGGAATACTGAAGATGCAGTATTTTTAAGGCTGCGTTATTTAATATTATACAGGTATGGCACAGCTGAATATTTATGTGTTGGCACTTGCTGTGAATTCATAGAACCACAGAATGGTTTGGGTTGGAAGGGACCTTAAAGATAATCCAGTTCCAACTCCTCTGCCACGGGCAGGGATACCTTCCACTATACCAGGTCGCTTCGAGCCCCATCCGACCCGGCCTTGAACAGTTCCAGGCATCCTCGGCTCACCTGGGCAACCTCTTCCAAGGCCTCACCGCCCTCACAGTGATGAATCCCATCCAAATCCATTTCCAGTTTTTTCAGTTTAAAGCCGTTCGCCCTTGTCCTATCACTGCGTACCCTTGCAAAAAAGTCTCCCTGCGGCATCCTTGCGTGCCCAGCTCCAGCCGCTCCCCGCTCCGCAGCCTGGGAGGCGGAGGCGGCTCCATCTCCTCCTCGCTCGCTCGCTCGCCATGCTTTTGGTCCCTCTGGCGGCGCCGTAGCGGCCGTGCCGGCGCCTGCGCGCCGCGGGCACTCCGCATCGCACCGGGCGCCGCCATGGAGTGCCGGGCCGTGGGGATGGGCCGGGCCGTGGAGATGGGCCAGGTGGTGCCCGGGCAGTTTGACGATGCCGAGAGCTCGGAGGGGTAGGAGGCGGCGAGGCTGTGGGAGTGCGCTGGGAAGACAGGCGGGGCGGGGCGGGGAGCAGCTCCGGGACTCGCCCGGCGCTGAAGGTGCTGCCCGAGTTACGGGAGGGGGCGAGAGGAAAGGGCTCCGTGCGCTCTGCTCTTCCGTTGTGTGCTGCTCTGGGACAGGCTTGCTTTGGCAGAAAGCCGCGACGTAATTCTGGCATTGCAGCATCACAGAACCACTTAGGTTGGGAAAGACCTCCCAAGATCATCGAGCCCAACCTGTGACCGAACACGAGTCGCTGGATGCCGCGTATGGTCTTTCCTTAAACACCTCCAGGAATGGGAATGGTGACTCCATCACTTCCGTGGGAAGACCATTCCACTGTGCAATCACTCTTTCTGTGAGGAAATTCCTCCTTATGTCCAAACTAAACCTCCCCTGGTGCAGCTTGAGGCCGTGTCTTTTCATCCTGTCGCTGGTTGCCTGGGAGAAGAGACCGCCCCTTACCTGGCTGCAACCTCCTTTCAGATGGTTGTAGAGAGGGATAAGGTCCCCTCTGAGTCTCCTTTTCTCCAGACTAAACAACCCCAGCTCCCTCAGCTGCTCCTCATAGGACTTGTGCTCCAGACCCTTCACCAGTTTCATTCTCTTCTCTCGACCCACTCCAGCACCTCAGTGTCCTATATAATTTGAATGTAGTCTGCGCTCTAAAGGCAGTGACATCCTCTACAAACATATATTTAAGCGTATATTGCTTAAAGACAGATGAAGTGAGAAGCATCTTGTGGAGAGCTAACCTTGGGAAAATGTTTGTTGAGATAAATGTGTTGAATTTTTGGTAACTGTAACAGTGGTTTTTGGTTATATAGAAATCTGTATTTCTTTTAAGTGAATCTACGGAAGACACGGAAACATTTAAAGTTGAGGTCACTGAGAACTGCCAGTCACACCCGTGTGAAGAGCTTAATGCTGAGGAAGGAGATTGTGATGACTACAATGATGATGAAGAGGAAGATGAAGACTGGGACTGGGATGATGAGATGGGAAGACTCATGAAGCACCGCAGTGCTGCTGGTGGGTGCAATCCACAGGTACGTTGAAGCCTGTTCTGTGAGTGTCAAGGCTGCCCAAGAGCAAATGGGGCTAATCTGAAGGCTTCATTCTCTGTTAGTATTCTGTTGAGGATCAATGTAAATAGAAGTTTTTCCTTGAGAGAATCCCTTTCTTTTGAGTCTGTTCCTCTGCCATGCCATCTGTATATGTATGTTGTAGCCAGAGTTCATCTTGATTTTCTTGTCTCAAGCCCTGTTGCTGTATTCTCTCTTTCACTGCAGTTTTCCTTCTGTTCCTTACCTTTCTCAGGTTTTCTTTCTTTGCCCACCCTGATCTCTATTGATATCCCTTGCTTTTGGTACTTGTCCTCTGTGTTTCTCACCATCTTCCCCATCCTTTCTATTTAGGACTCTACCTTCTAGTCACACCCAGGGTGAAACAGGTTATGTGTTTGACTTAAAAGTGAAGGAGGTAAAAAAAAAAAAAGCATAGGAAATGGAGGGATGCTGTTGATGCGGAAACTCTGGTGTTGTGCAGACTGAAAAGCACGCAGGAGGGGTAAAAAGGATGCTAGTTCTCACACCAGCTTGGACACTAGAGGTTCAAAACTTCATTTTTCTTACTGATACTAGCTTAGTAGAACAGTTGAGAGAAAGTAGAGAGGTGCTGATCGCAGCATGTCATGTCTGACAGCACTTGTCCAGGGTGATTTATTCTTGCCTTTAGTTAGAGGTTTGTGCTATCCAGTGTTGGTCAAACCGTGTTCAGATATTAGTTGTACTTGGAGAGGACTACCTATAAGAAAAGACAGCATCTTGTAAAGTTTTCTCTGTTCATTACCTTCACATTTTATTCTCTCAATTTTCTATTGTGTTTTTGTTTGCTGTTTCCCTTCCTTTTACAGATAGAAAAGGTGCTATATGAGGGATTGGCAGCTTCCTAGACTAAAAATGACCCTAGTTTGGGGCACATTTTTAGTTTTAACTGATGTGTTAGCTGTATTTTCTTTTCTTGAATTAAGTAAAATCTGATGTTAATCTATATTTCCTCACCCTTTGTGATTTTCTTGTTATAGCTTTAGGCATTGGCATTTGAGCTAAATTTTCCAATTATATTGTCTGTATTTCAAAGGTCTGTGCACAGAAGGCAACTTACATTAACAAATCCTTTGTTTCAGGCAAATAAACAGAACCCTAATTGCTGTTCAGCTAAAATGTCCACCCCTACAGACAAGGTTTTAAGAAAATTTGAACACAAAATTAATTTAGGTGAGTACAATTGCATTGTGTTCTCTTATGAAGCCAATTAACACTCTCTGACATTCTCGGACTAATTCTACTTACATTAAGTCAGAATTCACTGGAATGAATCACTTAACCATTGCCAGACAGATTAAAAATGGTTTTTGCATACTTGAAATTGCCTTCAGTCTCTGTTAACTAGCTGTCCTACCCCTTTGTCTCCACCTTCCGAGCCACATGGCTGTTTTGTTGTTTTTTTTAACTTCACCGTGATTTCTCCAGACCGCACGAAGTTCTTTCTTCCCTAGCTTCTCTGCAGGAGCAAACTGTTTGGGTGGAGGGAGGGTACCAACTCTCTGTTCTGATGTTGGTCATTCTCACAGCTACTACCACAGCTACATTTTCTAGACAGTTCCAGTCCCCTGTAGCATTGGGCACATTTTGCACATTATGCAACAGTTCTCTCACAGGGGTGGAGTGTCTGTGATAAGTGAAGAGGCTGCTGTCCTAGACAGTGTAGTTTGATGTTTACTGTGAGATGGAAATGTCTGCTCAGCACAGCCTGGCAGGACAGGGTGTGATTGGCACGTTTTGACAGGGTCAGAGGCTGTTTTCCTTTATAACAAAGTGGTGCTAAAAAGAAAGTTGCTGGTATGTGTAACCAAAATACAGCAACTTATAAACATTTAGACATTTAGCGTTTGATCAAACAACATTTAAATATATTGTCAGAGAGAATCCGGGAGCCTATTGCTTAATTTTTGTTCAGAAAAATGGCATTTGATTGTGATAAGGGAAGAGCAGACAAATTTAGTGGTGAGATGTTATCCAAAAGGCATTGCTTCTGGATGGCATCACATCTCCAGGTCTGTGGAACTGTCTCACTGTGTTGTTCCCTCAGAATCCTACTTTGAACTGTAGACAGAGTTAAAAGTTTGGTTAACGCTAGTGTGTAGCTAAACTTCTCTGCTTGTTACAGAGAGCTCTGCCTATGTTTTAATGTTGTGTTACGGCAGATTAGTTGGCAGCAGCATTCCAGGGGCAATTTCTAACATAGGAAACTTCTTTGGGTCTGGGTTTTTTTTTCTCATTTTTTCTAATGTGTTTTTCAGATAAGCTAAATTTTGATGACTCCGTTATAAACAGAGTCACGGAAAAGTCTAGACAAAAGGAAGCAGACATGTGAGTATGACTTGTGATTCTGTTTTCACTTAAATAATTTGAACCCAGAAGCATAGTGCTTATTTCCTTATTTTGAAAAGTTTGTTAAGAAAAATAAAATTTAGAAGTGGTCTGCATGCAGTTTGGCTTTTAGTCCTAAACTTTTTGGTTTCCAAAACGGTTGTCTAAATCATTCCAGAATTTTGATTTTTCTTTCACTTGTAGCACATCTGTTTGTGTTGATGTTGTAAGATGTAAGTGATGGGTGTCATTCCCTTAGGAAAAGCTATTTTATCTCTGTTACTCTTTTTTTCTAAGTAAAGATCCTTGAGCAGTTGGGCTAAAAAGGTTGTAAAGACAGATACCATATTCTCCTGAATGAGCACAATTCAGTACAGGCAAGAAGATATCTGTAACAGTGAAGGACGCTGATGTTCATGGTGGTGGTGGTGGTTTGTTGTGGTTTTTTTTTTTTTTAACATCCCTCTGCTGGCAGGAGAAAGCTTTGCTTCTGTATGAGCTGAAAGCCTTTCTCCTTGAGGCTGTCATTCTATCTTTGATACAGAATGTTGTGGTTTGCTCTGTCAAAGTACCGAGTCCGTATGTGGGATAGTATCATTTTATTTTCACTTCTGCTAGGTACCGGGTCAAAGACAAGTCAGACAGAGCAACAGTAGAACAGGTAAGTCCTTAATTCATCAAATTTCTCTTGACCAGAGCAAATAATGTTGAATTTTGGAATCACTGATAAAACAGATACTATAGCAACAGAGTTTTGCTTTGGAATTCTGTACCCCTTGTTATCCTGAAGAGACCTGTTGTTTCTTTTGTGTATTTGAAGGTTGTACTTGCTCCCATAAACCTTTTGGAGCTCATTTTTGTGCTTAGCATTGTGTTTTTATATGCAATCTTTTATATCCATCTTAAGCTTTTATTTAAATTCTGATGAACAAGAAAAAAATGCTGGATTTGCCTTTTTCTTTGTTTCTTCTTTAGCAAAACTGAACTAATACTGGCCCTAAACCACATAACTGCTCTATTTCAGTTACAATACTGTATACTAAGAGAAACCTTATTTTAAAACATTTGATACAATTATGGGAGGGAAATAATTCTCTTTTTCTCTTCTAGAGCTAGCTCAAAGACATATGCTTAGCTTAAAAAAGAGAAAAATTAATTATGTTGGCAGAAAAAGTGAAGTATTATTCTAGAATCGTGGCAGAATTCTGAGTGATTGCTGTTTGGATTATCATTTGATCCTTGAGAGTAGACTGATGCTATGAGTCCTTTATTATGGTACTGGACAATATTATTTTTAACCTCTGCTGACTTTTCTGTATTAAATTTGAGGTGTTGGATCCAAGGACCCGAATGATTCTCTTCAAGATGTTATCTAGAGGTGTCATATCAGAAATCAATGGCTGCATCAGCACAGGGAAAGAAGTAAGTTTTATTGCAAATGATGTAGTAGTCTTTTTTTTTTTTTTTCATCAACCTAGGCAGAAGTTTATGGTGCTCAGAAGATGTACTGAAATACTTAGGTTTAGTACTGGCTTTTTTGTGTTGGTTGGTATGAAGTTATCTTAAGATAAAAGGCAATTTATGTTAAAGGAAACCAATATTCCCGAGTATGAAAGATTTCTAAAAATGCTGAAATGTTATCTTAAATTTGTGGATCTTGTTAATTGTATCTTTCTGCCAAAATTTTTTGAAAAGTTATGTGTACACATAATTTTAAATAGCTCCTAAAAAAGCATACCAACCCAGGTAACTCTTTCTTCATGTGAGACTCTTGCATTGCAGATCAGACTAACTCCATGTCAGCAGACATGGGAGTATCTAAATGGTGTAACAAAATTCTGTTTAGAATACTATTAAACCTTCATTGCTTTTACAAAACTATCATGTTTTTGTGCTGTTATTATCAAGTAATACTGCAGATAATTAAAACTAGACCACAGATTTCCAAGTAAATTAATAAATCAGTTTTAGAATGCCTAATTGCCTAGGCTGACTAGTTTTCTTCCAAGTCCTTGGATGCTAATTAAAGACATACTTCTACCCTCTGTAGAAGTGAAAACATGAGATATTTGGGCCACGCAAATAGTGCACGGGCTCAGGTTAACTGTTCACACAAGGACTTGTTTCAGTCTCCGAAGTGAGACAGGGTTTTCTTGTGCAGTTTTGGTTTTGCCCTGTAGTCATTGCTGTAGTCCTGCCCCGTGTTACATACTTCCTGCAAGCTGCCTCACAGAGAAGGGGTTGCCCTTGTGTTCAGTCTCACTCACCTGGGTGCCATGTAGGGGCTGGGGTGAGATCAGATCTTTTCAGGGTGTCAGAAAGAGAAGAAGAGAGAAGATTATGTTGCTTTAAAGAGCTTTTCTTTAATGTTGTTTGTTTCCTTTATAATCTGATAGGCTAATGTATATCATGCTGGTACTGCAAATGGAGAGAACAGAGCAATAAAGATTTACAAAACCTCTATTCTGATGTTTAAAGATCGGGATAAGTATGTGAGTGGCGAATTCAGGTGAGTTTGACTTCTGCCTGGTTTTACTGGGGAAGTGGGGTTGTTTGAAAGGTGGTAAAATCACTGGTGCTAATACTGCATCGGTTGGATAAGAGTCCCTGTTGTACTTTCTTTTTTATTTAAAGATTTCGTCATGGATACTGCAAAGGCAACCCAAGAAAAATGGTGAAGACCTGGGCTGAAAAAGAAATGAGGAATTTAATAAGGTGATTTTTTACAGTTTTTCTTTCATTGTGCAAAGGTGACGGAAACTTTTAAGTTTATAGGAGTTACTCTCCTATTACTAGACTGTGGTTATCACTATCTTTTAAGGTCTCTGGAGTCTTCAAGAAGGTGTCTTAAACTTCTCTATGGGAGAGAAATGAAAAGGGGAGGAAGGAATAAAAATATTCTTTAGGTTTACTGCTCATGCTCTGAGCTCTTCACTGTCTGAACTCTGCCTGACATGACTGAACAGCAAGAAGAAGCTAGAAATAGCTGCTGCTGAGTAGCAGCATGCTGTGTGATATAGGTTAATCTAGGATTAACCTGAACTGTGTAAAGACTCTTTGTCTGACACAGGAATGCTGAGGAAAGGGTCCGAGCCAGAATGGTTGTGGCTTTTTGTATGCATTTCCTAGTTGTTCTTCACAAGTGAGAGTTTCCTGAGCTCTTACTGTGTATTATGTTTAAAGCAACAGAGCCCCTTTATGCACTACTGCAATGCAAATAGCAGATTTTGATTTTATGTTTTTTTTGTGGCTTTATTTCAGGTTGAATACAGCCCAGATACCTTGCCCAGAGCCAATTATGCTACGGAGTCATGTGCTTGTCATGGGCTTTATTGGTAAAGGTGATAGGTAAGTACCTTTAGAAAATCAAGTTGTTTTTTAGTTGTTTTTTTTTTTTTTTTTTTTTTTTTAATGTGGAGTACCCAGACATTGACAACTACTACTGCAGGCAATCTGCATGATTCTGAAGCCTGAGTTGTGCGCAAAATTCGTAAATTGGTTTAACTGGAGATTAAGGCTGGAAAGGTTTGCTAATTGTACATGAAGATAGCTCATAAGTTTTGTAGTACAGACATTAATGTAGCATGGTCCAAATTAGTTCATGTTGGAAACAGAGTTCCAGTATCTTTGGGCAAGCATGTAGCAAACTGTGCTGCCCATCATGGCATCCTTGCACTTGGTTGCTCATGCTAAATTGCTTGACATACCTACTGAGTGGAAGGATCAGATACAGCAGTTAAAGCATTTGCAGTATTCTTGGTACAAAGAAGGAAAAAGTATTCACTTTCTGTTATTTGTGTTGTAATTTCAAGGCCTGCTCCTCTCCTGAAGAATGCTCAGTTATCTGACTCCAAAGTCCGGGAGCTGTACCTACAAATCATCCAGTACATGAGAAGAATGTACCAAGATGCCAGACTTGTTCATGCAGATCTCAGTGAATTTAATATGCTGTATGTTTTTAATCTTTGCTCCGAATTGTGACATCTAAAATGTATGCATTGGCAATGTCTGTGGGAGTACTAATGTACCCCTAAGGGAGGGTGGGGTCCTTTTTGTTACTGGGTTTTGTAACTATTGTAATTAATTATGTAGCTTTTAGCCAGATCTGAGTTTTCTGTGTTAAAAAAAAGCCCAGCACACAAACAAACCAATCCCACAAATACCAAATGAAAACTCCAAATCAGGATAAAAAAATCCACTGAAACTCCCAAACAAAGCCCCCTTAGAGTGAGAAAAAAACCCACCTCAACTGGGGGGAAAATTAGTAGGGTATCATTTTTATAATTTTTATTTTGTGGTGGAGTTAGTGCAGCTCTGTGTGTTTTTTTTCTGTAGATACCACAGTGGGGATGTGTACATCATTGATGTGTCTCAGGCTGTGGAGCATGACCACCCTCATGCGCTGGAGTTCCTGCGGAAAGATTGTGCCAACGTTAACGGTGAGTGGGCTGCACTTCAACCCTTGTTCTGACAGCTGGTTTATTCAGCAAGGTGAACTGTGCTCACCTGTGTTCTTTTAGATATATCGACTGTAGAAGATGTCAAAATTCCATTAAAATACTTCCTCTCCTGTGTTCTCATGACTTCCTCAGGGAGCAGTGTACTGTGCTGAGTTCAGAAAAGAGCAGCCCATTTTGGTAGAAATCATCTGGCCAAAATGAGTCACCTGGCTGAATCTCAGGTTTATGATAGATATGAGTCCCAGTCTACAGCACTGCCCACTCCAATCTTCCCTTACTTAAAATACTGTGCAGACATACTGATGTGTTTCCTTCTGTGAGCTAAATCCACATCTGGAATTCCTCAACTAGCAAGAAGTTACCTTATGTTATAAAGTTCCCTGCGCTTACTTATCCAGGGCAGCTGAGAGGCATGGAGTAATTAATTAGAGATGTTATCACTTGTCATAGTATTTTGATAAACAAATTAGCTTTATGGTGTTTTTCTCTTGAGAATTTGGCCCTTGTGTGAGCATACATGTTGTGTAACACATACGCCTCCTGTTAGGGTGTGTCTCTGAGGACAAAAAAATCTCATTGCAGGCTGCTTTTGTCCCCCTTTTCAGATTGATTTTTTTCTTATTTTACAGAGACTCTTGAAAGTCTGTGCAAAAAACCGTGTGTGCATTTTGATGCAATGTGTCTGTTGATACCCCAAATGCTAGTTTTTCCTTATTGCTTTTCTGGTCATGGATTTCTAGTAACTCCCTTCTGGCTTTTGTTCTCTGTCACTGCATCTTTCACTGTCTAGTTCTCCTACAGAGACTCTAAGACCTTGCCCTAGCTGTGATCAGTGCAGAGATTTGTGGTCCCATAGGCACAGAGAGCTGCCTCCAAAGTAATTTTTTTTTTTTGTTTTCTATGATTAATTTCTCATAGTGAGAGAACTTCTGAGAACTTAAGTAGGAAATACTTATTAAGCAGTCCTCTGCTTAATTAAACTGCTTATTAAGCAGTTCTCTGCTGTTTTTCAGTACAGAAGCGCAGCCTCAGATTTTGGTCATAATTGAGTCAAGAAACCAATTCTGAGTGTACTATTGAGGAAAATTCTGGTATGTTAATGTGTCTACCCTTTAATATGGATCATAATTAGGCTGTACTGTGTTTCAGTGGATCCTTTTGTTTCTCTGGCAACAGTTTGAGGTCTCCTTTCCTTACTGGAAATACATTTTTTTCACTTTATCATCATAGCTGCATTTTTTAGATGTAATTACTTATGGTTTTTGTCTCTGCTCCTGTTTCCTGGCAGACTTTTTCCAGAAGCGCAATGTTGCGGTGATGACTGTGAGGGAGCTGTTTGAGTTTATTACTGATCCTTCTATCACAAGTGAGAACATTGATGACTACTTGTCTAAGGTAAGACCTCATGGCCTTGTTGCTTATGTAGGAGGACGTGAACAGTAAAATCAGATGTAGTTCAAGCTCCTTCATCTCATTTACTCCATATCCTGCTATTGAATGAAGCTGGCACATGACACTGCTATGCTAGTTCTTCAAAAATGCACACGGGTCTTTTCCATTTGTACCATTATGGAGTGACAACATTTTCACTCTACATTTTCTCAGAAAGTCTGATCATGAAAACTCAAATGTCTGTTTGAGGTGCTACTAAAACCAGGATGTTTTAAATTAGTTCTTTCTTTTTAGTAAGGAGAAGGTCTGCAGAAATATAACCGTGCTTCTATAGAGAATGGGATTGTCGTGGTTTTGCTTTGGGTCAATTTTGCCTTCCACCCTCCACACAATTACTACTAGTTGAGAGAAGGTATTTGCAGACAAAAGAGAGACAGGATTTGGGGAAAACAGTATATACATTTATTACTAGTAAAATAAAAACTACTAATAAGTTAAAGATTAAAGAATTATATCTATAGCAATTTCTACTCAAGTTGAAGTGTTATATATTTACACAAAAATACTTCTTCCCTTTTATACCAGTCCAAGGAGAAGAAGTAGTCTCATTCTATATCTTTGGAGTTCCAGCTTTTTCCCTTTAGTAACAGATCTTCAGCAGCAGCAGCACTTTCATTGCAGTTGGAATTTCTTCTCTCTCCCTCTCGTTCTGTGTTGGCTTCCAGGGCTGGGCTTACCCCCCTCCTGGGCTAAGACTGAAGGATGGAGATTACTCAGGTCCCGAAGGGTTTTCCTTCCATAGGCTTGCAAGGGGACACTTGCTTACTATGGATCTTCTTCCACAGGGTTACAGGGGATAATGGCTTAAGAGTTCACCCCTGTTTCCCTATGGAGGTCCCTCCCCATGGGAGAACAGTCCTTGATAGACTTCTCGGCATGGGTCTAGCACGAATCCACACACACACGGATTCCAATATCTCACATGGGCCGTCTCGCTCCAACATGAGATTTTTCAGAGTCACAAAAACTTTAACAGCAGTATAGATCCACACACGCACGGATTTCAGTATTTCACCTGAGTCATCACTGCTTCAGCACAGGTTTCCCTCAGGGTTGCAAATCTCCACCAGGACCCTGTCTCACTTCAGTTCTCTTTATGAAGTTTCAGTTCTCTTTAGTACATCCACAGATTCTTTTATCAGCTGCATGGGAGGTTTCCTTACTCCAGCACACTTTATAAGTAGCAGGGTTTATTTTTCAGTCTTTTCCCTGCTAAGGAGAGAAAGCAGAAAGGCAGGGGGGAAAAAAGCCTCCCTCCTTTCGCACTTTACTTTTCTTTGCTGCAGTTTCGGCTGCCAGCTCCGACCTTGGAAGTTCCGTTATTTTTCGGCTGGAATTCTTCCACAGCGGTTTTTGTTCAAGCAGTCCGTCTTTTAAACTTTTTTTTCTCTTCACTCTCTTACAAGAGAGAAGGGAGGACTTCAGTGCTGCATCTGCTCCCCCCCCGGCCCAAGCCGGGGGAGGAGGGAGTCTGGCCCTGTTCAGGCCTGGTACTCCTCTCCTCTACATGGCTGCTACTCTAATTCCAACTGCGCCAACAACCTTCTCTTCCGTTTTCTTGAAGATGTAATTAGTAAAGGCGTTTCTGGACTTTTGATTGGTCTTTTTGTCCGGAAATTACCTGGACAAAACCATCATCAGCCCCAGGGATGGGCTGAGGGGCAAAACCACGACAGGGATTAAGAATGCAGATTTGAGCAGGGTGAGCTGAGGGGGAATGACTAGGACAGTGTTACTTCAAGGTACATGGTCTTGCTTGCCAAATATAGCAGCTGGCAGAAGACCTTGATTCTAGGAGGAGTTGAAATTATTCAGTGCTGCTAGCAGCACCCATGTATTTCATCTGTAGCTGCCAGTCCTCTGCTCCCAGTTAGATATTTCTTTAAAAAGGAGTGTGTGTATGTGTGTGTAAGTGCTTTTTAAATTAACACAAGAGAAATGGGGACCACATATGTCATGCTAAGAGTGGAGATTTGACGTGTCTTTCCTGTTCAAGACCACATGAATGTGGTCCAAATAACAGTACAGCAGAGAGAATTCCAGATGTTGTGCACTTTCTGTCATAACGGAGGTTGAATGAGAGCGGGCTGTGCCACACAGTTCCCCTTACTTGTGCTCCTCTGGCTTGCATGGTGTGCATGAGAAGAGCCAAGTTCCAGGACTGAGCACTGCTCCCTGTATTCACCTTGTGCTGTTATGTCCCGTAGCCATGCTGGGCCTGACATAATTTGGTCTGGGAGGAGCAGCAAATGTGTATTCCCTCTACTAACAGCCCCGATCTGCAGCTGTAAGTGTGCTTTGCGGCAGTGTTGGTTACCATTAGGTGTCGCTGAAGTCATTCCCATAGGGAACCCTGGAGTGTGTGTGAGTGACAGTGAAATACAGGGAGAAACGTAGAGGGGAGTAGTTAGTTGGATGAGATTCCAAAGAGTTAGCGATGAGATTCTAAAGAGTGATAACTTTGTATTGTTTTGTATCTCTTTAGGCAATGGAAATAGCATCGAAAAGAACAGAGGAGGAAAGATCCAGTCAAGATAAAGTGGACGAGGAAGTGAGGATTTCTGTTCCTGCTTAAAAATAACATTAACCTTGCTGCTTCTAAACGATGAAAAATGTTCTATTTCATTTGGTAAAAGGCACAGTTGATGATAAGCAAAACATTGTTTGTGATACTGAGATGTCTTGAACTAGTTGAGATGTGAAGCATTAAGGGGTGCCATGTGTAGAAACTGACAGCAGTAAGCTGTTACAGGGCAAATATGCCATTTCCTAAACCAGTTTGCTTGCTTGTAGCTATGTCCTTTGATATATCTTCCAGTTCAGGTTTAGTTAACAAAAAACAGAGTAGAGAGATCTGATTATGTTGGTGGTTTTGGACCAGTGATACAGAAACAGGCTATTTGGATACATGCATTGATCAAATTGCTAGTCCCAGTCTAATTCAGTTTTTCCATTGCTTTTATGTTAAGTGAAGCCATTTCAAGTCCGTTACAGAAAACTGCTAATGTTTTGGAAAGGCTTGATGTAAAGATACAACCATTTCTACCTGTTCTAGAAGATAAAAAAACCAAAAAAAAAACAACCACAAAAAACAAACCAGAAAAAAACCCAAACCCCTGTCTTTGGAGTCAGTACTACTTGATTTATCGAAGACTTGTCTTTTTTTCTTGGAGCTCTGCAGGTTTTACTAACTGCTTCAAGACTGGCCAAGGAAAGATACTTTTGTTTCCCAGGATATCCTCAGAATACAACTTCTGAACTGTAGAGTCAGATGCTAGTGTTTTGTAACAAGTCCATCTTTTGCAAGCCAATTACTCCTTTGTTTATGTAAGGTACTGACCTGTAAGGGAAATGGTTTCACAGCATCTAAGTTCAGTTTATTTCTCCAAGAAGTGACTATGGCTAGTTTGTGTCACTTCCTTAAAAAAAGGGTAGAGCTGATTAAGGGCAAGCTCTGTGGAGGTGGGGGCTTCTGCTTTGTGCACAGCACTTAGACAGGCAGTGATGACCATGAAGTGAACTGAATTTGTATTGGGATTGAACTGATACCATGAAAAAGAAACAAAATACCTCTCTCTAATCTGGTAGGGTCATAAATTTGCTGGAAGACTGTTTCAAACACGTTTTAAATTATGTTGTTGATACTGGAGTAATTTTTACTGTACTACACTGCTGCAGGAATCTTTTTTGACTTGCTCTGTAGGATCAAGCAGGTATTATATAAATATATAAAGAGATGCTTTCAGAAGGCATTGTAAATATCACAATAAAAACATTAGAAAAATCCTTAGAATATAAAACCTTAGGTCTCAAATAGGTTTAAGAGATAGTTGGAAGGATTGGAAAAGTTTGTTAGTTGCCTGGAGGTAGTCACACTAAAGAAGGAGCCTTATTAGTCATGATCTATTAATAATGTATAGGTTACATGGTAGTGAATGATTGCTATGTCAACTTTCTCTGAGTCTTTGTGATTATTCTTTTAAGGATGCATAATTAGAAAAGAAAAACATTCTGACACTATATGTAAATAAGTGAGTTTGTGTTTCTTTTCACTCTGCTAGGTATTTAAGAAGGCTTACATCCCTCGAACTTTGACTGAAGTTAAAAACTATGAGAGAGATGTGGATATTATGATGAAATTGAAAGAAGAGGATATGGCATTGAATGTTCAGCAAGATAATGTGAGTAGACATTCTGAGGCACTGCAGAAAAAGAGGGAGGGGATACGAATTCTTCTTTCTGGAAACAAAAACAGAAGCTTTGTTACCAAGGTTTGGAGTACTGAATCTGGTATCATACTTCGAAATCATCTGGTTAGTGCTAATGCTAATGTTGCGGGGTTTATCCTGGTCTTTCTTTAAATTTTATTTGTATTTAGATAATAATTTTGTTTTGGCACAAAGAATTAAGACGTATTTTGATAATTTAATTTCTATCTCTCTCCCTTGTTGTAGATTCTCTACCAGACTGTTACAGGACTAAAGAAGGATTTGTCTGGTGTTCAGAAGGTGAGAGGGTCTTTTTGAAATCCTTCATTTTAACCATTTGCAGAAAGGTGCATATAGGCAGAACAGAGAATGCCTCATCTTGCAACTGGTACCATGAAAGAAGCCTCTTGTCTGCAGTGACCATTTATGTCCAGGATGGGTCTGGCTTGGCAGCGTGTCTGCACGACACAGGAATCGCTTCCCTTAACTGTGGTCAGTGCTTGGGTTGCTTGAAATGAAATGAAAATCCTTGATATGGCCATGATCTCTAAAGTTAAGGTGGAGATGAGAGAGTGTTTTCTGATTATGGAAAATGTAATTGATTTAAATCATAGCACAGCTGCAAGTTTTGATGTGTTCAGAGTATCTTTGCTGTAATACTGCATAAGGAATAGCCCTGCAGTATAAGGCATAAGATATGATGTCTTACTGTATTTGAAGTACTTGACAGTGACACTTTTGTAAAGTACATTGGATAAGAAGTTGGATACAGATCAGATGTAGCCTGTAATTCAAGGTAGAAGCCCTGTTTGGATTCCCCCTCCTTACTTTGTAAATGTTATCTAGCAGTGGTGTAGACTCTGATTTAAAATGGAAATATAAACATGGATGGGATCAGGCTGTAGCAGAGTCTCCAGGCTTGTTTAGGAATAAGTGAGTTTTCCAGTGTAGATATTTGTGTTTGCAATATAGCATACATACAGTGCCCCCCAGGTGGATTTGGGTATGATCCAAGATAATTAAAAATTGGCTTCCACATATGTTAGCAAATCGCTGTTTAACTTAGGGAAATTAGTTTGGGAGTACAAATAACAGCTGTGCTGTGAGACCTGACCTAAAAGAAACTGTGTTGTACATTCTAGATTCCTTGTTCTTAATTTGTTTAACCTACTTTTCATTCTTTTTCTTGAGACTCAGTGATGCCTGTGGTAAAGGAGATGGCATCAGCTCTCTCAAGGGTTTCTTTGTAGCAGATTCTGTTCTGTTTTTTTTTCCTGAATATATATATATATATACATAGTATATATATGTGTTTCTGTATTGTCATTAGTTTTCTTGGTTTTGATTTGGTATAATTCTTGATTCATCTTGCAGATTCCTGCACTTCTTGAAAAGGCAAACGAGTCAGAAACAGACTCTGATGATGATGATGATGGCAGCTCAGAGGACTCTGATTCAGGCTGTAAAGACTCCATACATCCCAAAGATAAACCTGTTGAAGTTGGCATGGACAAAAAGGTCAGCTGGCTAGGACTTGTTCATTTTTCCCACCTCTGCTTATGTGGCATGAAAAAATACAAGCTTAGTGTTTTTTGCTAATTCTGTCTGAAACAAGCTGTGGATTTTTCCCTTTGTGGAGAACGAGAGCAGAGACAGTGAATTTCATGCTTTATTAGTGGTGGTTTTATGTAGAGCAACATGTAACGCAGCTCTCTGTAGCCTAGGCAGAGCTGGGAAAGAGGTCTCTACAGGGAATTATAGGGGTACACAAAGCAGAATTTAGTGAAGGCTGAGCAGCTTTTCAGTGCTTCCGGCTACTCTTCCAGGCTTTGGTGTTTGGGTTTGTGGTTGTGATCACTGATAAACTTCCTTATGCCCAGGGAACTGAGACCACATGACTTACAGAGCTGGAGTCTTGGTGACAGTGTTTATACCTCAGTGGCTTTTGCAATACAATTACTACAGACTGGCTACCTTTGCTGGGGGACAAGAGTTGTAATGCAGTCATGCAAAGCGATTATGGTTACAGTTTGAGTGGGTTTTTTTAAGGCTTCATTTTCTAAACTGCAGAACAATTATGCTCAGTTTTGGTGAGGCTCTTCTGCAGAGCATCACTCATAGGTGAGAGCCTTTTGGCAGACTTTTAGGTGCTGTGCAAAAAAAAAGGAAGGGTGCAGCTTGCTGGGTTTAAGGGATTCAAGATTTGGGAGTTTGCTGTTAGGTTTTTCTTCTGGGAAAATCTGTCAAATAAAAATACAGTGCTCTACTAGACACTTTCTCCCAGTCTGGAGTTGCTGTCTTTCAGGTATGAAGCAGAGAAGTCTCGGTCACTTCTCATCATTGTTCCCTTTCTTCAAAGGCTGCATGGAAGTGATGTTTTAACTAGTTTGAATTTTGCCTTGTCATTACCAGTGTGTAGGTCTTGGCTCCGCCCCCAACCTATACTTGCTTTTTCTTTTCCCCAACTATTCCTATTGATTTTTTTTTGTTTGTTTCTTCCTCTTGATAATCTTATTTTTATGTCATGTGTTAAATTAGCTTGTTAATGTCACAATTGATTAACTTGCTCAAAATCCCTCACTCCTTTCTGTCTTTAACTGAATGGTGTTTGATTATTTATAGGAAAGGAAAAAAATGGTTAAAGAAGCCCAAAGAGAAAAGAGAAAAACCAAAGTCCCAAAACATGTGAAGAAGAGGAAAGAAAAGACTGCAAAAATGAAGAAAGGCAAATAAAATCAGCTTTGTCTTGGAGGAAGGGATGATGTATTGTGAATTAGTCAGTCATCATCTTTTTTTCTATTTTAAAAAATTAAAAATCCTTTATTTATATACTTACGATATTAACTATAATGGTGGTTTTGTTAATTAACATGGTGTAATTGTTTGAACAGAGTGTATGCCATGGGTTTCTCAATGGGAAAGAATGATTTTAACACTTGGGCCTGTTAAAATTCTTTACCTGTGCAGGTTTAACTTGTTGAACTCACACTGATTTGGTCCTGTGTTCTTACTCCCCTGCCTCACATTGCACACAAGCAAGTTTGGTTTGTTCCAGAGCAGTGATTTGATTCTAAGAGATCCTTGGAGAGGGGAGAATGGCGATTCAAAGGCCCATGCCTTCTTCACAGTACGGGAGCAAATTGATCAGGCTGTCACAGTCACCCTGCAGGCACCGTGCCTTTGCTGCCTCCCTGTGCTTGCAACACCTTTGATGCTTTCTTACTGGAAGGTGAGTTTTGTGATTTGGGGGGCTGTCCTCATTGCCCAGTACCCTTCTGAACTAATCAGGCAGGTGTACCCAAACAGACAATGCCTGATTACTTTTGTCCTTTTTTTTTTTTTATCTTGGATCCCAACATAAGGCACTTTTTCTCTTAAGAGTGTTATTAACTCACTATTTTGTAAGCTGGTCAAATGAGTATTTGCTGTTTAATCGTGTGTGATTGAATTCAAGACTCTGTAAAGGCTTGTGGCAAAACCCCTTCATGGTATGGCTCAGCATTGCCAGTCTGTGTTGTGCTAAGATGCCCCAGCTCTCAGGGAGGAGCTGGCAAAGATTTACTCATAAGTGACCCGCCTGTGCTTGGGCAAAGGTGTCTAAGGACAGACCACCTTGGCATCTCTTGGCAGCTGCTTTGACCACTGAGGCTGACAAGTGTTGGGAAAGGTGTTCTCCTCATACAGTAGCCATCTTTTCCCACTGCCTGCTGTTTCAGAACTCCTTGTGGCAGCACAGAGAAAGGTTCTGATTCCAGTAAATGTCTTGATATGTTCTCCCTTGTTAGGGGTGGAGCTGATGCCCTGAGGATTTGTGCTTACAGGACATGCTTCCTCTGACGACAGAGGACAGCTTTTATCCAACAGTGGATATCCAACAGTGATGGGTTGGCTAGGGGCAGGGTCAAGCTTCCCTCTCTCTGCTCCTCACCTTCCACACCCAAAAGAGAGAGCATATTGGCCAATTTCACAGGTGGCTGCACTCCCCAGATTGACCTTCACAACCTCTTTGGTGCCTTTGACTAGAAAGCCAGTAAGAGGGGAACCAGCCAGTGCCTCCAGATGTGTCTCTCTCTCTTTCTCTCCCCTCACTTTGTCCCTCCTATCCACACAGGAATTGATACACTCTCACATACAGTATGCATATAAAGTGTAGACAGTATGGCTGGAGCGTGTTGGGAAGCAAGACTGGTATTTTCTCAGCATATGGGGATGTTTGTTGGGAGACCAAGATAAAACATCTGCATTTTGGAAATTGGCATTACATCAGTGCCAATGTGCAAGAAAGAGGGCAACCTCTAACTTGGTAGAGGGCTAAGTGGAAATGAATCTCTACAAAGCTGCGTGTGTTTTAATTTTATGTAGCTCAGCTGTGGATGACTCCACCAGGAAACTGGTCCATGGCTGATGAGAGTGAGTTAGGGGTTGTCAGACACAAGAGACAACCACATTTTCTTTGGGGCTGGCTGCTCTGAAGACAAGGATAGGTGCTAGTTCTTGGCAAAGAGCCTGGAAACCCCAGAGCCAGAATGT